TTTTAATAAAACACTATAAGAAAAAAAAATTAAAAATAGTCTAATTTATAATTTAAAAATATGATATTTTAATTTTTTTAATAAAATTTATGAAAATAATATAGTTTTGAAATGATTTTTTCTCTTAATTTTTAAAAAGTAAAGTGAATGAATACTATTTTACCTGGTTGGTCAAGATAAAATTGCAAAAGTAGCATGCATTCTTCTAAAAGGAATGTAATCATCCAAAGAAAAAAAAAAAATTCTACCAATTTAGGCCTTCTATGTGCTACTAGACTCTTCTAAGCATCAAAAGCCATTAATTATTTTGTATTTAAAATTAATCATTTTAGTACCTATTTGGTCTAGTTTATGAAATCGTTCCTCTTATAAAAATGTTTTTGTTTTTAGAAGTTGCAAGTATAAATTTGTAAAATCCATGAATAGAGTCTTTTACTTTAGAAGTTTATTAAGAACCATAAAATATGAGAACAATTTTTATTAAAAAAATTATATTTAAACATATTAGCTTTGAAAAAGTTTTAGTTTATTTAATTAAGGCAAACAACTTCTTTAATAAAACAGTTTTGCCCTCAAAGATGATAAGGATTCCAGCAACTTTAGAATAAAATATTTCACCTTCAAATTTTAGGTGTTGTTCCACAAGCAATGACCCCATGATATTAATTTTCTTAAATGATATAGGTTGGCCATCAATGCCATACATGTTAGTGATCAATCTTCATCAAATGTGAACTTTAATGGTTGAGTTTTGAATTAATTTACTTTTATTTATTCATTAATTTAATAATTAACACTGCAAAATTAATAAAGGTAAGTCTACATGTTGACATTTGATTTAATAAATATTGTACGAAGCATAGAGTTTTTTTTTTTTTTTTAACTGATACAATTGAAGGATGAAAATTAAGATTGCTAAGGCTTAAACCTTAAACTTCTAGAAGAAATTTCGCAATGTTGGTTTGCCTACCAAGCATAAACTGTGTTTATTAAAAGAGTATTCAACTTGTCGATGATCTAAATAATTCAATAACAATCTCCTTTTGTTTGAAGTAAAAAGTCTTGAATTTGAGTCGCATGTTATGCGAGTGGGGTGGGATAAAGGATGAAAGAGAATTGCTTTCCGCTTTGCAATTAATATAAAAAAAAAAAATGAAGAGTATCCAACTTTTTGTGACATGGAAAAACGTTGGCCATTACATCTATATTCTAAGGTGATATGCTACCTGCCAAATCTTATACCCAAGATGACCAAAAACAAGGCATCGCTTTGAAAACAGGAATCAAGTTTCTTAGATTCTTGCTTTTGGAAGTCAATACACTATTATGTATTTAATTAGTGGATAACAAATGTGGATGAAATGATTTTTTTTTTTTTTTAAAAAAAAAAAAAATTCTAAAGACAACTTAATGGTTTAAGTAAGTAATTGTGTTCAAATTTTATGAAGGATTGAAAAAACATTTTAAAAATAGTAATCTTTTCCATTTGATGTTTTATAAATTAGGGTAAGGGTCATGTGGTTTGGGATAACTCTGCTCAACCTCTAAATCATTAAAATGCATACTCACTCTCAAGTGGTTAATTTGAAAAAAATATGCACTTAATTCCTAAATTCCTAAACATTGAAAGTGAAAAGGTTGAAAATGTCTTCTTTATTTCTCTTTTATCCCTTTTTCATTGTATCTAAAGGTATTTTTAATTTTCACCTTTAGTATTTACTCTCTTCATTCAACTTTAGTAAACTTAAATTTTAATATGTTCATATTTCAAATTACATGCAGTGAATGTACCCTTTTATTTTTTTTAGTAAAGTACAAGCAGGGTAAAGAAGAGAGGGAAAGGAGAAGGGATATAAGGGAATAGAGAAATCTCCCCTAGGCTTTGAAACCCAAACCTGGGAACATACAACACTTCCTAAGGATAGAGGGAAAGCCAATGCCCCTACTTGTGGGTTTGTAAATGCATCCTTTTATAATTTGGAGTTAAGGTTGCATTACATGATAATAGAATAAATTTATATAAATTTTTCTTCTATTAAAGGACATAAAAATTATATCACCTTTTCTTTTTCTTTTCCTTTTTCAAATCCACCACCCCCCGCCCCACACCCCTCTAGAGGTTCAAATGTAAAATCTTAAATGTGAAGTCTCAGTTTCAACCGTTGTTTGAGCTAATGCAATTATGAACAAAAGGGTAATGTTGCAACGTTTTCAAAAGACTAAGGATCTAATTGATCAGTTTCAAAAGTTATGGCTTTGAAAAATTGACAGTATACCGTCCCTAAATATTGAGGACCTCAAATAAAATGAAAAATATGTAATTAAATAAAAATATTATTTCCTTTGCATTTTAACCATTCATTCATCAGATAACATGTTTCTTCATAAAAGAAATCAGGTACACATTTTTTTTTTCTTTTAGTAAATGGTTAATTCAGATGCACACACACCATATATAAAGATCTATAACGTCCACACGAGACACGACGAAGGAATATTTAGAATATTTATTGTCTGGTCAGTATATTTTTAATAATTAATTATTTTATAAATATAAAAATAAAATTTTTGTTTTACCAATTGAATTATACACTAAAAATGTATTTTAGAGGTTAAAATTATTAAGTTATTATTAATGAAATAAAATAAGAAAATTTTATATTAATAAAAAATTAATTAAATTGATATTCATTAATTAAAAAATTTTAATTTGTGAAATTTATATTTTATCAAATAAATTATACATTAAAACTATAATTTATTATATAAATTTATTAAAATATTTTACATAAAACAATTTTTCTACATATTTTTTAAAAATATTTTAATAAATTTATAACCTAAATTGTATATTTAATGTATACGTGGCTGTAAAACACTCTTCTTTTATTTCTTTTTCTTCTTCTTCTTCTTCTTCTTTTTTTTTTTCGTTCGTATAATACTTGCGGTCAGGAATGAAGAACTCATAAAAGTCCAAGTTCTCTCAAGACCAAAAAAAAAAGTCCAAGTTGTCTCTCTTATATTTTTTGAAGTTTCTCTTCATTTTTCTGTCTCGAATGGTGATTCTCATTTTAGTATAGATCTTCTCAATTTAAGCTAAAAACACAGTGGCAGAGGAATCGTAGAAAACCCAGTTTCTGTTTTTGGTTTAATTGGGTCATTGTAGTTTAAAGTTTCTTATTTTGAAGCTATAAAGAGGCAGAGAGAGGGTCTGCCAGTTTCACGGTTTTGTTTCTTCTAGCTATTCTTGATTTGTTTCTGCAGAAGAAGCGCAAAAGAGCAGATGGGTTCTGCTCATCAGGAACAGATCAGGCAGTTCCAGTCGTTAATGGAAGAAGGTGAACTTTAAATAAACATTGAGGATTGACTTGACATTGTTGGGTTTTCTTCTTTGATCTTAAACCATTAATATTTTTCTTTTCTTGGTTTGTTAATACAGTGGATCAGAGTCTAAAGCAGACATTTAAGGTTAGTTTTCTTGCTCATTCAGTTCCTTAGATTAATTTTCTGCTTGAATGCTGAGAAAAGGAGCCTAAGAGAAGAAATTGGTTAGTTTTTTTACAAAGGTTATTGACCTTGTAGAAGAGAAGACTATATTAAACTGGGAATGATTAAAATCGTTGAGCTCAGTTTTGTTGAAGTCAAACAGCATAGATCTTAACATCTGTTGCTGACTTGATTAGGAAACTTGTTGTTATTCAACTTCATGGTTAACAGTTTTTATTTTTTCATCCCAGGATCTGATCTCTATCTTTCTTCATTAATTTTTCTCTCTCTCTCTCTCTCTCTCTCACACACACAATCTAATTTTATGCTAAATTTGATATTCTGCAGAATATGCACCAGGGTTATCCAACTGAAACTTTGATTCGTTTTCTTAAAGCAAGAGACTGGAACGTTCAGAAAGCTCATAAAATGGTTAGGTTCATCTGCTTTATACTTAATATGTTATTTTGTTTTTTTAACTCTTAATTGTTGCTAATTTTGTTTGCTTTTACAGTTGGTTGAGTGCTTACAATGGAGAATACAGAATGATATTGACAATATCTTGGCGGTGAGTGGTCTTCTTGTGTACGTTAACCAATGTTATATTTTATGGCTGGTTGTATGTGATGCTCCTTGTTCTTATCTTTGTGTGGAGCTTGATGATGAGCATCATAAATGGTACTTAGTGATGAAGACTACTGCATTTAGATTCAGTAGTATGTTGTTTGCCTGGTGAGCTAGTGACTGTTGAAAAACAGAGATATACCGATCATACAATACAAATGTAAAATTATCTAAAATTTTTATTTGGTCTGAAACATTTTATGGAAGTTTATGATATTGCAAATCCATGGTTGATTGCTGTAGTTTAGTGTATAGTTAATTCGAACTACTCATGCAGAAACCTATCATCCCAACTGACTTATACAGAGCAGTTCGAGATTCACAGCTTGTAGGATTGTCAGGTTACTCAAAAGAGGTATATATTTTTTTTTCCTTCAACTTTACCTGTGGTTTTCCTGCCATCTCTGTGGGTGCGACAAATCCAATTTGTTTTGCGAGGGAAACTATTGTGAAACTCTTCTGTCATGGTCCTTTTGGATTCATTTTTCTTGAGAGGAATATACATTGCATTAAAAGAAACTCATTGTTCATTGACTAACTCATGCATCATGATTTTCCAAATGACTTTGCCAGGGTCTTCCTATTATTGCTTTTGGTGTTGGGCTCAGCACATATGATAAGGCATCTGTAAGTATTTTGTGTTGTGTTCATTTATCTCTTTGAATTTCATTTTCCATTAATGTGCTCCATATCCTTGAGTGCTTGGATATGGTCCAACACTTGAATGCAATTGAGAAAAAAATATCTGAGGATATATGGGGCCCTTTGGTTCGATAGGATTTTCCAAAAAAAAAAAAAAAATTGTTAATAATGTATCTCATGTAGATAAATGAAATGCATGCAAGAACTAAAGACTCCATTTGCATATAACATTGTTGAGACAAATCAAAAGTATACCATATGCCAAGAGAAAGCAGGATGGATGGAATGCATTATTGATATTGGGAAGATTGGGACACTATAATATGTTACATAGGGGAATTGAAAAATACCTTTCATTGAGTGGATGTGTCAACTGTGCTCTATTTGTGCCTGGTAGAGCGGAGATCATAAACACTTAGTTTCCTGAATGTTTTTTTTTTTTTTTTTTGAAATTTTGTTGTGAAATTTACAGTTTAATGGTTTGGTATTTTAGGTGAATTACTATGTACAGTCACATATTCAAATGAATGAATACAGAGATCGTGTAGTCTTTGTGAGTATCAACTCTACAGGCTTGAGATCTTTAAATTATATTTCTGTTTTCTTTCTTGTACCCAACACTTGCTTCTGTTATAGCCAGCTGCAACAAAAAAGTATGGAAAGTATATTGGTACTTGTCTGAAGGTTTTGGATATGACTGGCTTAAAGCTTTCAGCACTGAACCAAATAAATGTAAGTTTGACATGGCATATTTCAATCTAAATATGTTAAGTAATAGACAATATGCTACGAATAAAGGTAAGTTTGATACTGCTTAAGGCTTTCATAATGCTATCACATATTTCTGTCTCATCATTTGAAGTGTTTGTCTTTGATGGAAAGGAAGAGTAGCAGTGCATTACTCTGGTAGTTCTCTTCTTAGAAATGCTTGTTATTCTTATGTGCTGTTTGTCTGTTAATGTAGCTAATGACTGTAATAACAACAATTGATGACTTGAATTATCCAGAGAAGACAAATACATACTATATTGTGAATGCTCCATATGTATTTTCGGCATGCTGGAAGGTTTGTTTTTATCCTAGTTCTGTCTCATCTACCCTGCACAGAATCGAAGCCTGATAATTTCTTACCCAATTTGTGGCAGGTTGTGAGGCCTCTATTGCAAGAAAGGACAAAGAAGAAAATTCAGGTCCTTCAAGGTTGTGGAAGAGATGAGTTATTGAAAGTAAGGAAATTTATGGATTCATACTCTTTTAACATTTTCTGGCATTTTTCCTCCTTTTTTTTTTTCTTCTAAAGGCATCTCTCTTTGTGCTCATGTTGACAATTGTCACTGTCACTATAAAAATTCTTCCAGAATTCAGAAGGCATTATGGTAATATATGTCAATATGTCTGGAATATTAGTTCTTTTACTTTTGTGCAAGGTGCCAAGGTCATTCTAAAGATAACAGACCTACCTTCCGTCATATCAACTTGATATGTTCCGGATTGTCTGTGTATAGCATGTGCATTGTGTCTACTTCACTGATTGTCCATGTGTAGCATGTGCATTGTGTCTACTTCATTGACAGATTTTGATAATGAAACAAATTGGATTAGTTTATGGCTTAAGGTGGTGAAGTTCCTCCTCTTGTAATGCTAGTATGATTGAATTGGCTTGGTTAGCACAAGGGCTTGGTAATGTTGTTGCTTTGTGACTTTTCTGCAGGTAATGGATTATTCATCCCTGCCACATTTTTGTAGGCAAGAAAGTCATGGGTCATCCCGGCAAAACGGTAATGGAACAATGAATACTTGTTTCTCCTTGGATCATGACTTTCATCAACAGCTTTACAACTACATAAAGCAGCAAGCTGCTCTTGTAGAGTCCACTTCCCCAGTCAGACAGGGATCGGTCCATGTCAAGTTTCCTGAGCCTGACCCAGAAGACAACAAAATTGTGGTTACTATGGAAACCGAGCTTCACAGGCTAGGGCATCAGAACGGCATTCATCACTGCTGAACTGGCCCTAAGGTTAACAGAATTAAGATTTAGATTATACCGATCTTTTATTTTCAGCCAATATGTTAACAAAAGCCTAAATTGGATGGCTAAATGCTCATTAACCTTTTTTGATGAGCTAATATCAAATTTAGTCGTGGGTTTGATTGCATCAACCCAATGCAGGTTATGTAGGGGAGCTAATCTAGCGGATAACATGACCAACCCCTTTGGAGAGGATGGTCTCATCCTTCACTTACCATGTTGGAAACATGTTTTCGATCTTCTAATTTCCCGAGTAATTATTTATCTTCTCTCTTCCTCTGAAAAGGGGTTAATTCTAGTACCAAATTCATTCTTGATTTCTGTTCAACTCTATTAATTGCGCTTTGTTAATCTTCACCCTTATGAAGTTGCTTTGCAATAATGGAATAACACGGATGAATCTAACTGGCACTTGAGCTGTGAAAGCAAAAGATAATTAAAACATCACATTATTGTAATCAACGCTAACATCATATGACATGCTTTCAGCTGTATGGTCTTTGTCTGATGACCAATCTCAAGGATGATCTTCATTTTCATGAAGATGACTTCTAATTCTCATGTCCAATTCAGATTCTAAAGTGCCCTTTTCACTTAGGCATTCTGATCTTTCCTCCTCTTTCTTCCATACTTAACACACTTTTCTTCTGTAATAAACTAATCTGTTTAGGGAGATTACAGAACAAGAGATGCCATAAATTAGTGAAGGATTGTTTTTTCAACCAAACTAGACACAGGGTTCTTACCAAACCTTCTTCTCACGTGAAGTAGGCCCTCATTCTTATGGATACATTTATTGGGTTAAAGATACCATGGAACACGATGGCTATGGATGGAAGGACATGATCCTGAATGACATTACCATATTGCCATCCAATTGGTGTCTGGGGGCTTCAGGATCTCTTCAATTTTGTCATTACGAACTAGTTGCATCTGATACACAAAGCATTCATTTTCATTGCAAAATCATCAACTGATAACCTAACCAACTTGTACCATTTACAAAAGTTGGATCCCTGGAGTTGCTTCCCAACTCATCCTTAGGTACAGTGAGTTTATCTCACCAAACAGACAAGAATAACAAATTTCATTCCACTACTCTCAGATGTACGCACATCCATTCATAATTGTACAAGGTCTCGAAATGGAAATTCTCATAGAGGGTTCTCACCTGGAAGATAAGAAGGAGATCCACCTTCAATTTGATTCTTTGTTCGATGAAAGATACCGCTGATGTTAGGCAAAAGCACTTTTTTGGAAACAGAAGTCTTCACCTTTTCCAATTTTTGGGTCTCAATAATTCTTCCCGGTGGGCTTTGCTTTTGAATCCTATAGTGCTGTGGGGAGGCTTCTGTTGACATCTGCGCTTCGGCCAAAATCCGAGATGCAGCTTCTGCTGCCTTCTTTTGCTCGCGTTCACGCCATCTTTGGAGCTCTCCCTTCACTGCCCTCTTTGCTGCTTCAGCCATCTCTGCTCTCTTTAAAGCATCCGCAGTTGCAGACTTCATGTCTTCAATCTCCTTCTGAGTCACTTCTAACCTCTTGAAAGCCTCATTTTCACTGGCCTTCACAGCTTCCACCTGAGCCATGGCAGCAGCTACTTTCATTTCTGCCAATGACTCAGACTCCTCAACTTTCCGGCTTAAAGATTCAAACTCTTCCCTTGAGATAGTGATTTTGGCTCCAGACTCAGAGGTTGAGGCACGTGCAGCATTAGTTCTCTCAGACAATTCCTTAATATGATCAAGAGCCCTAGTCTCAGCTTCTTTTGCTTCTTCGGCTTCTTCCAGAGCAAGTCTCAACTTCTTCTCTGCTTCCTCAAGTGCAACTTTCAACACTCCTGCTTCCTTCTTCAACTCCTCAACTCCTTTCTTCATCTCTTCTGCTTCTTGTCGAGCGTTCTCAGTTTCTATTGACAGCTGCTGGAGGGTTGAAATCATTTCTTCACAAGCACCTCTTGCTTTGGATTCCTCTGCAAGGGATGCTTCAAGCTCAGATTTGCTTTTTCGAAGTTTGACATGCAGATTCCCAGCAAGGGATTCTGTTTCTGCTTCCTTTTCTTTCAGTTCGGAATGTTCTTTCTTCACATTCTCCAGCTCTGCCTTAAGAGACTCCACCAAGCTCCGCAAGGAGGTTTCCTCTCCAACAACCTTTTGTAGTGACTCCTTAGCATCATCCAACTCCAAGGTCACAGCTTTCACAGACTCTAGATCTGAAGCCTTTGCATTTTCCATCTGCCTCTGCAGAACCTCAATTTCATTGACTGTTTCAGCCAGTTGTGCTTCAAGATTTTGGTTGAGTTGAGGATCAAATTCATTCTTCAAAGCAAGCACTTTCTTTACAGATTCTTCTAGAGTAGCTTTATATGATTGCCTCTGGGTTTCCTTTTCAGCAAACACCATAGCTTGTTCTTGTTGTGCTTCCAGAGATGCAAGCTTCACTTGTCCAATTGATTCCTGTAAAACTGAAATTTCTTTGGAGAGCTCACCAACTTTCTCCACATTTGCTTTGGCTGCACTTTCAGCTTCCACTGCTTGGTTGGAGGCAGCAACCTTCGCTTCCAAGGCTGCATCACAATCCTGACGAATCTTCCTGAGTTCTTGTTTGGCAGCATTGAGTTCAGTAATCAGAGTCATGTATTGTTCCCTTGCAGCTTCCAAGTCCTGTTTCCTTATACCATCAGATCCAGGAAGATCACTAGATTTTGCTTCTTTGATCTGCTTTGCCCGATTCTTTGCATCTTCTGTTATCTTGACTGCTGAATCTTTAGCTTGATTAACAGTTTTGAGTTTGTTGGTTAGATCCTCTGCCATTCTCTTAGCATTGTCAAGCTCTACAAGTGCCTGGGCCTCAGTTGCCTCAGCATTTTTTAGTTGTTCCTTTAACTTGTTTAACTCCTTTTGGGCCAGGTGAAGTTGTGTCTCCTTGGCCAATACTCTCTACAACAACAACAATTAGAACTTCTGAAATTGAAGAGATGGTAAATTATATACCTATCATTTTCTAGATAACTAGAAATTGAAAACAAGCCAACCATAGCATTCATTCATTTAGCAAAACTTTAACTCCCAAAACCAATCAAGTACTTCTCCATTAATGACAATACTAATAATCCAAAACAAGCCAACCATAGCATTAATTAATTTATCAAAACTTTAACTCCCGAAAACCAATCAAGTACTTCTCCATTAATGACAATACTAATAAACACCAGTTGAAATGAAATGTTCCTAAACAGTAATGGAGTTGCCAGCAACTTGCTACAAGTCATTGTAACCATAGATTCCAAGGATGGACCAAACACATATACATGCCTATCTTTGATTGGTCAAGTCTTGATGATCATAAATAATTAATTTGAATTGCTTTCCCACTAATATTGATGAAGTTTAGAAAAGACTTGGTTTTTGCTTCCAGCTTTACTTGTTACTCTTTATAATGTCTAAAAGACTCAAAAGAATCATTGCATCTTGAGAGTTGATTTCACGTACTAGCTCTTCTTCAATGTTACTCAATGACAATCAATCACATTAGTTTAAGATGTTTCCTTGTAATTGCTTTCTTAGAATCAATTCCTAGCTAAACAAAAAATTACGTTGTTAAGCATAGAAAATACTCAACTGACCATAAACATCATATTCCATATCTCAACAGTTAGTACCACAATGTCCATGCAAACCATTGAGGTTGGAGAAAAACATGATGACATTAATAAAGAAGAAAAAGAAATATCATCTTCATTATTATACCTCTGCAGAGTGTGGTTTGACCTTCTTGATCGCAGGTTTTTCCCCAGAGAAAGCACCTTCACCAAAAAGATTAACAGCATCTTTAACAGATTGAAATGGTGCACTAGTGTCTATTTCTCCCACCTCTACTTTTGGAGAGTCAGTAGCATTCTGGCGTCCCTTTGGGACCATACTTGTTTTTCTGTTCCTTATTTCTCTGTACATTCAGGAGTTCAAAGCAATATAAGAACATTTCAATCTCAATTAAGCCAACAGAAACAAAGGTAACAGTCACGTCAATACTTTTAATTTTACTGAAAACTAAAATACTTGAATAACAAAATATAAATTCCACAGTAAAAATTTGAAATTTGAAGACTGATGATTATTATTCATGAACCCGGAATCCATAAAACAAAATCACATGTTACTACCTAACCATGTCAAGTTTATCAAACAAAACATCCCATCTGTAAGGCAAGTAGAATGATGATAATCATACCTTAAAAATCCTCCTCAGTTTTTCAACCGAAAATAGACCGAATACCATACAATGACTCCTCGATGAATACTGCAGAATGATTTCTGAGATATTGGAAGCAATACCTACTTTAACATCAAACAAAACAAAGAATTGCCATAAATTTTTTCCATTTCCAACACGTTAAGAACAAGATAAAATCCACGCATCAAGTAAGAAACAAAATGAAATGAAATGTACAAGAAAAGGTGAATAAGAACAAAGGCCTGCAAAAACATGAAAATTCCAACAAGAACAAAGAACTTACTTTTGGATACCTAAACTCAGAATAAGCAAAACCCTAATGCAAACCCAGTACCAAGCGCTTCAAACGGTCAAAATCAAGGGAACACCACGCCAGAACTTATTCACATGTTCCCAAGATCACAAGCAAGGAACCAAATCACGACCACCTTCACCGATCTTCGTCCTTTTTCTCTTACAGTCAGTACCCTCTTAATCTTTGTACCCAAAAACCAAAACCCACGAAGGAAATTCCAGGAAACACAACATTCCCCAGAAAAATTTGTCAGCAATTTGATCCCAAGAACAGAACAGGTATAAAATGAACAATCTTTTTCGTGGGTTTAATAAAGGGGTTCCTTTTTCTCTCCTACTTATGAAAAACTGAAACTGGAAACAGTCTTAGCCGAGGGAGAGAGAGAGAAAGAAAAGTTTGAATATTCTTAAGCTGTTGCTGTTGGAGACAAAATTTTATTGCAGCAAAAAGGCAGTGGAGAGAGAAAAGCAGAGTGTTTTGGTTTGATAGGGGAAAAGGGCAGTGGTGAATAGACGTGCCTTTCATAGTTTGGTACATTCTGGACAATTATGTATGTTAGGGTAGTTTGGTCCGAATAGTACTAAATTCCCATTGCCATGTACATTGGTGAGAAACAATTGAAAATGACCCAAATAGGGGGTAGGAGACGCAGATAAAAGAAAAGGTAAATCGGCTAAGTTAAGCTTTTGAATTTATTTTAGATTTTTAATTAAAATTTTAAATTTTTATTAAAATAAATAAATTTTTAAATTGTGTAATTTGAGTAATTTAAATTTCTTTTATAATGAATTTAATATGTATTTATATTTCAATTGAATTTATTTGTTTTTGTAAATTATTTTTCTCTCGCCGCCGCTAGGGTTTCCCTCAGCGGCGTGCGAGCCTCTCACCTAGGTGCTTCTCCCTGGTTTTTTCAGGGCCCCTCTTCCTCTATT